GCCTGAGGTCCGAAGGTCAGAGTGCACAAAGTACCCAGAGCCAAGAGTGTGGCCCAAGGCATCATATCAGAATGAAGAGCTTATTCAATCTCCATTCCCAGGCCTTCATGTCCAGCTGGACAGGTGGCACCATCTACCATCTCTAAGCAAATGATAGCCCAAGTGTGGGCCATGCACATGCATCTTGTAACATACATAATGGGCAACACAGACCCCACCAGAAGCCCAGGGTTGGAACTGATGCCAGGAAGGTCTGGGCCTACAGAACATGTCCAGAAAGTGTGAGTTAGCTTGGATTGTTGGGATAACTGGTTCTGAGTTCTAGACAAAATAAGCATAGCAGGAAAACTGGCCCTTTCTTTCACTTTGCATCCTGTGGAGAAGTCTGTGGTGGATTAGAGCCCTCTGTACACAAGAGGATAGGTGGTCTGGGCAGAGCTCTGGGGGGTAGGGGCACAGAATAGCTCCTTCCAGCTAGCTGACCTGGTGGATCCTCCACAGAACCCACATTGAGGGGGTCTTTGGGGCATATGTCCTGGCATAGCAAACAGGCTACAGAGCAGGTTCAGAGGCTTACAGGTGAGATGGTGCCCAGGAAAAGAAATTCTGACCCAAAGGGTCATGGTGGCCTTTGTGATCGCCCAGACTCTGCATGTGTGAGAAGTGGAGATGGGAGCTGGAGGACAGGACCCCAGATTTTCACCCTGAGCAGAACCGGTGTGTCATAAGCATTCAATCCCCAAATCACAAGACGGTTCCATTTTGGAGTTAAGGAAGCAGAGAGCTTTAAGATTAAGTGATTTAAGATTAAATCACTTGCTGGAGGACCACACAGTTCTCAAGTGCAGAGCTGGGGTTTGAACCCAGATCTGTGATAGTAGAGAATGTACTCTCACCTGCTCCATAGCCAGGCAGCATTTGGAGGCAAGGTAGAACAGATCAGGGGGCCCCTGGCTCCACACATGCTTGGCTTGGAACAAATGAGCAGGGATGAAAGGAAGGAAGGAAGGAAGGAAGAAAGGGGGACCTCCACCCTGCCCCCATGCTGCTGCCCTCCCCTGACATCATTCCCTCTGGGAACCTCCTGACTCAGGCCCCCTATAAGCCTCTGCTGCCTCCCTTACCCCACTACTACCAGGGCTTCCCTTGTTTAGCCATGTAAAATCAAGGCCGGAGGTGAGTCAGGGCCCAGGAAACCAGCCAAGTGGGGCGACCACAGAGGCTACTCGTGGGCAGAGCAGTGCTGATGTTTTCCCCAGCCAGACTGTACCTCAGTCTGGGAGAGGGAGATGAATGTGGTCCTTCTTTAGGGAGAAGAAAACCCAGGTTCACAAAGGTCATCTGGTGTACTTAAGACCCCAAAGAGTCTGGATGAGAACCAGCTCTGCTGAACTTTCAGGCCAGGGGCTCCTTACTTTGGACCAGGTGGAGGGTACAAGGCCTTGGACTTGCAATCAGCTCCAAGAGCACAGTCAGGGGTCCTGACCCCAACCTGGACCCAGACACAAATGGATACTATTTCAGAAGCCTTCCTAACATGTTTAATGGCTCTCAGCCCTACCAGCGCTAAGGCATAGTTAGCTGTGTTGTGGTTTGGGGAGGTTTTGCCGACACACATCCACAGGGGGTCATGGAAAGTCCCTGTTAGCAGTGAACGTGGCAGAACTGAACAGTTATGTCTGACTTCTCTGAATCCAAGCAAGACAGAGGGCAGGGAGATCCCACTCAGCCAGGACCTGGCCAACTGCCTTTAGAGCTGAACAAAGACCCAGGGCCTGAGTAAGGCTGTGAACACCCCAGGTGGACTTTGCATCCTAGACCATTTATAGGGTACAGATGGGGCTTGGTGATCCCCAATCCTCCCTTCATGTAGGCTGGATGGCATTACATAGTCTACAATATCCGGATTTAACTGGGGCAGAGGCACGGGCCATAGTGGGGACAGCTGAGGGTAGCCACAGGGTGGTAGGAGTGGTTAGCAGCCACTGCTAGGAGTGAGAGACCTGAGGACAAATTTTGCTTCCTCACTCCCTTGCTGTGTGACTTTAGACACCCTCTAACCTTTCTAAGATTCAGCTATCTCATCTGTAATACAAAGACTATACTAGGTTTTACCTTATCAAGCAGGTTTGAAGGTTAAATGAGGTGTTGGACAAGAAACCACTTTGAAATGGTCATCAAGCAGATCACTCGGGTGGAGAGAAGACTGAAATCATCCCCCTCCCCAGAAGCCACCCAAGGTCTTATTTCATACTTGATTTGGGCTGCCTGTCTCCTTCCCATAAGTCCCTCCATACACTTCCAGCCCTGAGCTAATAGGGAGCTTCTTCCCTTCTTAAGCCACTCCCGTCTCCAAACAGTGCCTGGCAGGCCTCCAGGAAAGCACTACTTCCGAGGACCAGGGTGCCATGAGCTGAGGCAGAGAGACTGTGTGAGGTTCAGCTCTCCCATGACACTGGCCATTTTTAACTTACCCTCCCCTTAAATCAACCCCCCCCCCATCATCCTGGCCCAGCCTGCCCTGTGCATACCTGCTCACGGAGAGTGTGAGATGGTCATGGCAGCCCTTGATGCGGTTCTGCGCCTCCAGGTGTGTCATGAGCTCTGTGCTCTCACCATTGATGGCCTGGATCAGGTCTCCAGGGCACAGGGCGGCCAACGCAGCCTTGCTTCCAGCATGGACCTGTAGGTGGACAAGCCAGATCACTGGGAATTGGTCATTGTGTGGCCTTGCTGCAGTCTCTGCTCTAGAACCCTTCCAACCTCAGAACCTGGGCTATGTGGCCCTCCTGCCAACATGACCTGTGGGTAGGCAAGTCAAGACACTGGTTAAGTTCCCATGTGGTCTGGCTGCAGCCTCTGCTCTAAACACTCCAAATTCTAGCACCTGAAGGACTGGTGGGGTGTGAGTGCATAAAAGAGGGGCATATAAGTGAAGGCATATAGGACTAGGACAGTAGGATGTCACTCTTGTAGCCTGCATATGTGCCCAAGGACATACAAAGGACACACAGGAACACATGTGCTCCCAGATACATACAAAGCATGGACGTGTCACAAATACCCTACATAGACAGTGCCCTACCCAGAGAGACTGCACAGAAGCCCCTTGACCTGATATTTCCTAGTGATCTTGTCTCCCTACTTGTTTCCTCTCATCCCTACCTCCCACATTCACTTCTACCTACCCATACTCTGTCCAGGCCAGTTGAATATCCAGGCTACTTACAGCTCCAGATAGTTCTCACCTCCATGCTTCTGCAAATGCTGTTCTCTCCACCTGGAACACTCTTTCCTTTGACCTCAAACCATAATTATCAGCTTACACCTCCTCACCTTCAGGTCTTAGCAGAGAGGCCATTTCCTCTGGGAGCTGGTTCTCTGGACTCTCACAGTACTCTGTGCACCCCCTTTACCATTTTGCTCCCCTAAGTGCCTCATTCTGGGTCTGTGTCACCACCTTTCTAGTCAAGTTCAAGGCCATCTACTTCCAGCTGCCAGTCTGCACTCCTGAGTCACGATTTCACCTCTACTTCCTCTGCAGGATAGACACTCAGGCCACTCTAGTGCCACTACTGACTCCAGTCAAATGGTGTCCATATATGGAAACTCTTACAATACTGGTCCCCTCATGAGAGCCATATGAAGTTGGGGAAAGGCTCACAGGGAGGCCTGAGTAAGGAGTCCAGGGGAATTCAGGCAACAGGGAACCCTTCGCCCTATCCCCGGTTCCACCACAGCCTTTGGAAATAGATTTTAGCCACCCTCATTTTTTAAAATTTATTTAAAAAATTTTAATGAATCTCTATGCCCAACATGGAGCTTGAACTGACAACCCCAAGATTAAGAGTCACATGCTCACTGGAGCACCTGTGTGGCTAGGTCGGTTGAGTGTCTGACTTTGGCTCAGGTCATGATCTCACAGGTTGTGAGTTTGAGCCCCACATCAGGCTCGCTGCTGTCAGTGCAGAGCCCACTTAGGATCCTCTGTACCCCCCTCTCTCTTCTCTTCCCTCGCTCATGCTCTCTCTCTCTCAAAAAGAAATAAACGTTAAAAAAAAAAAGTCACATGCTCACCAAGTGAGGGGCCCTGTAGGCACCCTCATTCTTACTCAGCCTCACCAGTGGTGCCCAGTTCTCGAGAGCTGCCAGTGACCCTGTTCCTATTGCTGGGGTTGGGTGCTCCTGGAAGCCAAGCTAGGCTCAGCTTATCCAGCTTTCAGCAGTGAGTGGACAAAGCTGAGGTGCTAGCAGCTTCTTGGCTGGAGTCCTGATGCGGGCAGTGCCTAAGCTGACCTGCCCTGAAATATTTTTGCCCCAAGGAATATTTTTCTAGAGTATGACACCCTCAGCCAATAAACCACCATGAATGCTCATTCACAGGGCCTGGCACCTATACAAGCCTGTTCTCCTGGGGAAGCACCCACTAGGCATCATTCCACCCTCTACTCAAGGTCCTGCTCCAGGCCCCTATCCTTTATGGATACATGCTCTATGACATGGCCTGCGCTTTACCCATAACTAGTTCATGGCAAACTTTCAACCACCTGGTGAGACAGAGGCTGTTCTCATCCCAACAGATGAAGTAAGGGAGGCTTGGGGGAAGGGACACCTTGCCCCAGTCCCCAATGCTGGAGAGAAGTATTCTTCTTCAGGGGGGTGGCTAGCTGCAGGATGACTCAGCCAGCACAAGGGGTGCATTCAGGCCCCTGTGGGTGGAGGAAGTTCTTGAAAGCAGGGGTGGCTGGGTCTCAGCCAACTCCATTAGCTCGGGGAGTTCTGGTCAGAGAGGGCATGAGGCCAGGAAACCATGACTCTCCCAACTGCCTTTATATGCATTGTCTCATTAATCCTCAAGGAAAGCCCATTTCTTAGATGAGGAAACTGAGGTCCAGAGAGGTGCAGGACACTCAACTGATAAATGGCAGAGTTAGGGCTTCATTCCAAGCCAACTGGTTCCAAGTCTTATCTACTAACCACTGTGTGATTTTCTCTTTCAGGGGAGAGACAGTGTCACAGGTAGAAAGATTGGCATGTATAACGGCTCGTCTGGGAGAGAGAGTAAAAGCAGGCTCCTGGGGTTGGAGCATCATTAGTGAGGAGACAATGGAAGAGAAGTCAGAGAAGAAGCAGGGACCAGAACTGCAGGCCTTGTAGGCCCAGGTGAGAAACTGGCATTTCTCCTGGGTGGTCTGGAACTATGGAGGGTTCTAAGCAGGGAAGTCATAGGACACAGATTATTTCAGGCCTATCCCTCTGACTGCTGAGTGCAGGATAAATAGATGTGGGGGTGTCTGGGTGGCTTAGTCAGTTAGGTGCCCGAGTTTGGCTCAGGTCATGATATCATGGTTCGTGAGTTTAAGCTCCGCATCAGGCTCTCTGCTGTCAGCATGGAGCTTGCTTTGGATCCTCTGTTCCCCTCTCTCTCTGTACCTCCCCCTCTCACGTGCGCACTCTCTCTCTCTCTCTCTCTCAAAACAAACAAACAGTTTAAAAAAAATAGAAGGAAGGGAGAGGGGAACAGTGACGTCAGCTGGGAGACTGGGGCATGAACCAACCCCCTCACCTGTAGTAGCTACATTTCCAGCCCCTGCTCCACTCTGCCCAGCCTAGATGCTGTGATAGGCTGGGAGTCACAGAGTCCAGTGCCATACTGTCCCATCCAGTCACAGCAAGTTCCAGACAGGTCTGGACTCCTGGCTCTGCTCTGCTCCTCTGGATACACTCACTACCTTAGCTCCTCTGAGCCTTAGTGTCCCCATCTATAATGTGAGGCCGGAGGGAGTCCTTACTTATAAGGGCTCTTGTGAGGACTACCTGAAAGAATCAAGGCAAAAAGTCCCCACAATAGGTCGGGCACATGGTGGTGCTCACTCCAGGCTCTGGTTGCTGGGGAGCTGGTACCAACACCCATTAGGGTGGGGCCTGGAATGCTATGGATGCCCAGCCAAGACCAGCAACCACTATAGTTCACAGAGGAAGAAGCCTTGGGCAGTGTTCTTGGGGGCTCCTTGAAGCTTTGTGAGCTGAGGTTGCAAGGCCCCAGCTCTGCCAGGCACCCAGCCTCCACCCAGTCTGAGTGTGGCTGTCCCCACAGGAAGGTAGGTGGGAGGAGGCCCTGGAAGCATGGAAGGAGTTGGATCTTCAGCCCCCTTCGTAAGGACACTCCCACATATCATCAGTATCTGTAGACCTGCCCTTGAGGTACCTGTTGGGCAAGCTGTGGCCTGTGTTTCCTCAGCCCTGGAGATCTCCCTAGATCCCACTCAAACCCAGGCTCAGGCATCCTGGCTCCTTGGGTCTGAGCTGCTGCCACATGACTTTGGGGGACAAGGGGGGTTCTTCCTGGCAAACCCTCTCCCAGCCTGGCTACTTGCCTGCCTGCCAGGGACCTACATCCCTGTCAGCTCCAAACAAGGCCGCTGCTGCTGCTGCCACTGTGACGTGTGGAGGCCTTTCCTCCACGGGCAGGCAGCCGTGTGGGCAACAGATGTCTCTGCTCCCTGCCGCCTGTGGCCGTCAGCCGCCGCCACTGAGCCTGTCAGCGGCCTCACGCCTAGGGTGCCTGGCCTGCTGGCTGGCCTAGCACCCCCACCAGCCTGCTTTGGCGGACACACAGCAAGACACACATGGAGACAGACACAGAGGCGCGTGCGCGCGCACACACACACACACACACACACACACACACACACAGCAGTGTGCCTCAGGGAAGTGGGAGATGAAAGGCTCCCGGATGTGTTAAAGGCCCACCTCACTCAGCCCCAGGAACCTGGTGGCTGTGGGGTAAGGGCAGATGTGGGAAGCCTCCCAGGACAGCTGGGCCTGCCTGTCACCCTGGCCCCCAGAAAAGGGATTCCACAATTCTATGCTCCACCGGGTGCCCACCCCCTCCTAGGAAGTGGAAAGAAGTCTCTGAAAGCCCAGCCAGCTTAGTCCAGCCTGTGCGGAGAGAGGTGGCAGTAAGGTGGGGGAAAGTGGTTCTCAGTTTTCCTGACACAGGCCCCCAAAGATCAGAGCAGCCTGTGTGGGGATAAGGGATGGCCCTCAAATGCGCCCAGGGCCCCTCTGCTCTTCCCTCCAGACTGAGAGCCTTCAATGGCAGGATCTCTGTTTTGTCCTCTTTTGTCCCCTAGTCTGGGACCCCAAAGGGCAGAGTCTGACTCCCCTTTTTTAGCCCTTCAAACTAAGGGACCCCAAGGCTGGGCCAGAATCCTGTCTCGCCCGGATTGGGTACCCCTTCTTCAGGGCCTGAATCCCTTCCTCTGCTCCTCTTCCCTCCTCAAATTAGCCACCGCCCAGGATTGTGCCCCCTCTGCTTTCTCCTCTGTCCTAAGCCTGGGGTAATGCATAGCCCTGGAACCTTGAGGAACTGGGCTGAGGCTATTCTGGCCTCTGACCTTGTGTTGTCTTGTGGGCAGGGGTCTCACATCCTCACAGTAAGTCTCCCCTTTCCCTTCCCCTGGAAGCCCTGAATTCCTCCTGGTCACTTCCCCATAGGACAACTGAGGTCATAGATGAGAGTCTGACCAAAACTAGAGTGAGGAAGTGGATGGCTCTTTCTCTTTTCATATCCAGAGAGGACCCCAGACCTCCCTGGGGTCACCCAGCTCTGCTGGCAGGGACTTTTGTTAGAAGGGGGCTCTCAGTCATTTCGCCCCCAATCCTGACTGGGTTCAGCCTAAGCAGCGTTTCTGGGCCTCTGTCGATGGGTCCAGACCCCTGGCCCACGACTGCGGTCCTTCCCTGGCCTGCAGTCACTCCCCCAAAATGAGACCAGCAGGGAGGCTGGTGTGTGAACAAGGGGGTGGGGATCCTTCAAGGGACAGGGCAGGCAGGCCCAGCGGGAGAGAGGGGGGGGCGGTTGGGGCCCCACATTGCCATGCCTGGAAGCCTCTAGAGCCTGTGTGTCTCCCTGGCCATTCCTTGGCCTTCGAACTTCAGGGACGTCGGGGATCAGGGTCTCGAGTGGACCGCGAGGGCAGGGTCTCAGATGGAGGACCTTCCCGCCGCCCCGTGGCCATCAAACTCACCCGCGAGATGGTGAGGGGTGCGCTGAAGTCCCGGCCGCCTACTAGGCGGAAGCCCCAGGGTGAAGGGCCGCGCAGGGTCACGGAGTGGGGCATCGCGGGCCGGAGCCGCAGCCGGAGCCGGAGCCGGACACTGAGGAGCCGCCGCCGCCACCGCCGCCGCAGCCGCCGCCTGGACGCCGCGCCCCGCCCCCGACCCGCCCGCCCCCGTACTCCCCTCCACCCGGCCCCCGCCCCGGCTCC